ATAGGGGGTCAGGACAGTTTGGCTCTTCAGACTCCGTAGAAGGAGTCAATTGGGTACAAGAATTAGGGCGACGACCCTTTAAGACAATCATCCTGGACAGCAGGAGCTTCCAAGGACTCTTGGACACAGGTGCTGACAGGACCTGCATAGCAGGAAAGGATTGGCCTTCTTCTTGGCCAACACACAGAACAGGATCCTCCCTTATGGGAATAGGGATGGCTTCCGGAGTAATGCAGAGTTCAAAGCTTTTAAAATGGCAAACAGACAGTAAAGAAGGGTTTATACAACCTTATGTGCTACCCTCTCTACCATTTACCCTATGGGGAAGAGACTTAATGGAGTCACTTGATGTGCATTTAGTAACAGGAAGTTCTGAGCTGGAACAGCATTTTACATAGGGGCCACTGCAAAGGATCTCTATGCAGACTCTATACAGTGGAAGTCTGATCAGCCTGTATGGGTTAGTCAATGGCCCCTAACACAAGAAAAAATACAGGCATTAGAACAGCTGGTATCAAAACAATTGAAAAAAGGACATATAAAAAAATCTAATAGCCCATGGAATACTCCTGTATTTGTCATAAAAAAAAAATCAGAAAAATGGAGACTACTACAAGATTTAAGAACAGTAAATGCTACAATGGAAGATATGGGGGCCCTACAACCAGGACTCCCATCCCCTGTGGCCATACCAAAGGACTGGCACATTATAGTCATTGATCTACAAGATTGCTTTTTTACAATAAGATTACAGCCTCAGGATCGCCCTAGATTTGCCTTTAACATACCCTCAGTTAATTTTAAGAGACCCTATAGACGATTTCATTGAAATGTATTACCCCAAGGAATGAAGAACAGTCCTTCATTATGTCAAAAATTTGTGGATATGGCCCTTTTACCAATAAGAAAAACTTTTCCCTCTACATATATTATTCATTATATGGATGATATATTATTGGCTCATAAAAATAAGAATACAACAAAAAAAATTCTCAAAGAGACAATTAGTAGTCTAACAGCTTATGGCCTTGTCATGGCTCCAAAAAAAATTCAAAAAAATAGGCCACTTAGTTATCTGGGACAATGGATAGGGGATAATTATATAACAACCCAAAAGGCATCTATCAGAATAGATAAATTAAAGACCCTCAATGATTTTCAAAAATTGTTAAAAAATATAAATTGGATAAAAAAATATTTAAATGTCACGACAGGTCAATTAAGCCCCCTGTATCAAATATTACATGAAAAAGCTCACCCAAGGTCAATAAGACACTTAACTCCTGAAGCCTTGCAGGCTTTAAGACATATAGAGCAGGCTTTAAAAAG